AAGAAAAAGAAAAGAAAGGAAGGAAGGAAGACCAAATATTTATTGAGCACCTATTATATGCAAGACATATACCCACCTCTAGGAAATTATAATCTATTTGGTGAGATAAAAGTTCAAGAAAAAAATAATGAGGCAGTATATTAATATTTTGTGGTGCTAATAACAAAGTATCACTGAATCCTAGGACCACAGAAACTCTGAACAGGAAAGGACCTTACTGTCATCTTTAACATACTACAAAGAGAGGAATTCCCTCCATGATATCCTTGACAAATTATTTTTTGATGTTATAGTCATGTGTCTAAATCTTATACCATTTTCTCCAACTAGAATGTAATCCTGAGAGTGATTCAGTACTATTGAGACCTTTCAGTCAGAAGACAAATTTTAGTTGAGTCCAGAAGTTATTAAAGTGGGATACACAGTCTTCAAGAGACAGACTGAGAAGTGTGGCCTGGAAGAGCTGAGCAATGGTGAGGGTGGGGGGGTGTTGTGGAGTCCCCCGCATCACTGAGACCTTAACAGGCCAATGTGAAAAAAATCAACAGCATAAAAAAAACAACTGGAAGCATAATTTAAAAAGGAGAAACTCAAAGGAGAAATTAAAAAGAAGACTGAGCTCTGGCAGAGAAGAGAGAGATTGAAGTGGACCATTGAGTGCTGCAAGCATCTTTAAACAGGAATCAGACAGAAGCTATTGGTAATACTCAGTTTTTCAAGGATAGAGGGAAGTCCTCCCTGACCCCTTCCTCATATACTATTTCTCTAGCTTCTCTTTTCCATGCCTGTCCAGTAACAGAAATTGTAATATACTATGCTCACTTCTTTAACTTCAACATTTCCTGTAATTTGCTTTTTCCTCAAACAAAGAGGCCAGGAGTTAGCTAGAGATACACAAAATTTAAATTGGGACAGAAAGTCAAAGTTCTCTCTGAATGCTAAGAATTTTTTTTTCCTAACTGGGAGCTCTAAGCTATTGCAAATGTATGAATAACTTAATTGGATATAAACTCTTTAAAGACTCAGACAAAGAGGCCATGTGGACCCGAGGGTCATTATTTTACCCCTAGGCTAAAAGTGAGATAGTTGTTGTGAAACAGTTTGGCTTAAGAAATGTCTAGCTTCCAATATCACAACAACAATAATAATAACAAAAGCATAGTAGAAGGGAAACTGAGGAGAAAGCCCTAACAAGTGGAAGGCAAAGGAAGGAGGGGGTGGTGATAAATTAGGAAGAGGTGGTACCTGAGCAAGACTTGAAATAAGACAAAGATTCTAAGGGTTGGAAATGAGGAGACAATACATTTCAAGCTTGAAGAATGGCTTGCACAAATTCACAGAAGTGGAAAAATGGTACATTCAATGCAGAAAAGAGTCTGGAAAGAAAAGAGAGTTTGTAAAGTATAAAATGAGGCTGAAAAGGTAGGTGGGCACAATATTATAGCCGGCCCTAAAATGCCAGGCTAAGGAATCTGTGTTTTATCTTAAAGGCCATATGTGTGTATGTCTGTGTGGAAGAGGGGGTATGGAACATGAGGATGTGTTTGGAGGAGAGGGGAGGATTCTCAAGGTTTTTGAATGGGGGGGAAAGGGTGATGCAATCAGACTGTATAATATATTGCTATACATCATCTCCAATAATGTTTTGCAGATATGAAGGACCCAATTAGTAAATTGGTTGACAGTAATAAAATTTAGAAAATAAGATTAATAAAATGACTATATCCTTCTTTTTATGGAAGGAAAGAGAAAGAGTAGGAAAAAAAGAAAAAGAAGAAAATTATTTCAAGGCTAGGACTACAAATGCTAGCTTCATTAAATTGGGAAAGGAGTTGCAATCCCTACAATGTTTGTTATTCAGGCTCCTATTGAATACTGGGACTTACCACTTCACAAAGAAGCCTATTCTGTAATTGGACATCTCAATCTGTTACCAAGTTCTGTCCTCTTCACCTCACTTATGTGAAATCATAACTTTCACACATCATGGTGTAACAGAAAAGAGGCCATAGAAAGCCCCTCAACTATATGAAGACAAAAGTCACATCACCAGTAAGTCTTCTCTTTCCAGCAGGGTAAATCATGGGATGGTGCAGATGTAGAATTGATAAGATTTGACAACTAATTGGACACGAGAGATGAGTTAGTCCAATGTGAAAAATTAAGGATGATTGCTCGGTTGGGAAGTTAGGTAACTAGAAAAATGGTGGTGCCTTGGACTTCAATAGTGAAGTTAGGAGGAGGGGTAGATTTAGACGGTAAATATAACGAGTTATGATTTTGACATGTTGAGTTTGAGATGCCTATGGGCCATCCATTTAGATTTGAGATTCATTTGCACAGAGAATACATAGAATATGATGAGATCAAAGAAAAAGAGTATAAAAAGGAGACGCCTCAGGACAGAATCCTGGAGTTCATCCATATTGGGAGTGGAGAAATGGGGGTGAGGGTGGGGAGGAAGATATGGATGATGAGTCTGTAAAAGAAGTTGTGAACCTCAAAGAGAAAATACTTCCCCTGCCTCATGGATTTTATAATCACAGAGCAATAGGGCTAAAAGATGCCTAAGAGCTCATCTAATTCTATTCCATCACTTTAAAGATGAAGAAACTGATGTCCAGAGAGATCAAATAGCTTTTCCAAGGTAGTAGGAGATTCTAGTCTCAAACCCAGGTCTGTTGACTCTATGTTCTATCCTCTTTCCATTACACCACATGTCTCTTCCCTATCTAGTTGAAGAAACAACAGATACACATAAGAGATGAATAACAGTACAAGGTGACATAAGCTACATACCAAATAAACTGTGAAGGCAATGACAAGCAAGGTACATTCTGGGAGTAGTCCACAGTGGGTACATCAGTGTTTTGGAGAACCAGGTTGATAACTATATATAATGAAATCTGATTGGTAGAGTTGACTAGAACCAGATTACCAAAAGTCTTGAAAGAACAAGATATCTGGTCTTAATCATGTTGAAAGCAATAATATAGGAAGATTAATAGTGTTTTTTATAGAATCATTGATCAATTATCCCAAAGTCTTTTATAACATTTCAGTAGGCCTACTCTGTAAGTTATATGCTTTCCTACACTCTTCATGGACAAAAATTTTACAATTCTCTCCCTTGATTAATTTCCCTAAGACAGTATCATAGCCAATTGCTCTTTTAATATATTAATTTATTTAATTGATATAGCTCATTCAGACCTATTACTGGACTTTATCAGCACAACTCTGGATGTTTGAGTTCATGACAGAATTGCAGAGTTGGGGGGGGAGGGGAGGCTGGATTGAGAG